GGATGCCTTTGTGCTTTCTTCGTGATTTTCTTTTCCTGAGTACACGCCGTGATGGTTCGTCTTGAGAGGGGGTGTCAGGATTGCCAGCTTGGCAAGACGAACCACTGCGAGCTTGTGAGCTAGGGTAGATTGCTGTGTAACGGAGAGAGGAGAAGACAAGGAAAGACAAGGAAAGCATTCTGAGGAGACACGATCTTATCAGCCATCACCGAAGTGAGATCTGTGTTGACCACCCTTCATGATGCCATAGATGGACAGAAACAACTTTGACTGACTGGCCAGTCCATCGGTCTTATTAAAGTAAAAGCTGCACTCTTACTCTGGGACTTACCGCCCAGCAGATCCTCTATTCAGCTAACTACAGGAAAGGTCCTCACCGGCCTTTTCGCACACAACCAACGCAAAGCGACCGACGACCGAAATCCCATGACCGGAGACTACATACCTTCGCACCGACCAAAGCAACCGCATGGACATCCCATCCCAGTTGGCCCAAGCTGAAATCACATGCACAGTCGCTGGCGGTCCTCCCGTGGACACAGCTTCCACGGCAAAGATTCAGCTCCCGACGTATGACAACACTCATGCATCTCCTCTCTGTGTGTGTGTCTGTGTGTGTTGCCGATGCACAGATGTCTGTCTGCTATTGCTCGAGGAGGCACTGACATTGGCGTCCTCTCAGCGTCGCCAGCTGCGCTCATGAGCACCAGTCTTGCACGAGTGCGGATGGTGTGGCCAAGGTCTGGGCTGACGACACGCGCATCCGTCATGCTGCCAGCCGTCTGCCACCATGCTGTGCTGCTGGCGGGGACGACACACCAGCGCACGGCATCTGAGTGGATGGCGTCCTTCTGGTCCGTGTCTGTGTGTGTGTTGTCTGTGGGTGTGGGTGTTGTTCAAGTGTGTGGCAGCGCCCAAGCACAGCCTCGGTTGAGGTTCCTTGGTGTGTGGTCCACGTCCCTTGGTTCCCGGCTCTCCCCTTCCCAGATTCGCGAGTTCAAGACTCTTGCGGCGACACTCACGCCGCTCGACACGCTTGCGCGCAAAGGTGGGCATGCAATGGCCTCGATTGAGGTCGCATGAGCGAGGGGATCTGCGGATGACAAGGTATGCAGACACACACAGACACAGAGAGGGAGAGAGATAGAGTGGAGGTCGTCCCCCGCCAGCAGCACAGCATGGTGGGGGGAGGGTGCGGCGGTCCTGTTCATTCCGTCGGCGATCACTTGGCATTCGGTACGCGATGGATGGGACCCACGGGACAGTCAATGTGTCGTTTTCAGGTGATGACAAGGGTATGAACAAGGGAAGCCAACTCAGGTGCGCACACGCACTCATGCGAACGTCGTGATGAGAGCGGTAACGGTCGCATCACTACTTCCGCTCTCATCAGGTTCGCTCATCAGGTCCTTCCGGCGTCCCTCGCTGGAGACCAAGTGCTGCACCAGTCACCAGATCTGGTCTGCGGAGGAGTGTGTTGTATGATCTGAGGGATGCAAGGGTTGAATGCAGCCAGCCAAAACGGTTGAGTGACGGACGGATGGACTGTGACGTGATGATGAGACGATAGACAGCTAGGTGTCGCCCATTGCACCCTGCGCTGTCTTCATTGTGTTAGCGTGACTTGCCAGACCTCCGCCGTGCTGACCGCACTGCATGGCGCTATGCATACGAGCCGATACTTGACGCCACCGCACACACACACACCCCAGCCGAATGTGCTGATGGCGAAAGCGATTCATTGTCTTCGTCTTTTTGCCCCTCGGACCGGCCACAGCGGCCGTCAAGAGGCCGCCCAGCGCCCCGGGCAGCCCAACAGGCCCTCGGCAGCGGCCGCAGAAGCCGATTGAGTGAGGATCGAACTGCCGATTTTCTCAACAGTGGCAAATTCGTTTTCCGATTTTATCGGCTGAGTACCTTCACTGCGTCGCCTCGTAGAGATTGAGGGAGAAAGATTGTGTGGGCAAAGCGAGAAAGCGATTTTCGCTTTGATTTCTTAAGCTTGCAAAGCTCGCAGATACACCTTCCTGTTTTGGTGCCCGACGGAAGGATGCGTCGCACTGGAAGGATTGTACTCGAAGGACTTAATTGCCAAAGGTGAGATGAGATGAGTGTGAGATGGACGGAGCAACGTTCGCAGCGAGGGCCTTGAGCACCGAAAGGAACAAACGCTCGTCACCACTCTGCTGTTGTTGCTTTCTGCTCTGTTCCTTTCAGCTCATGGCAGCATCGATCGCATCTCAGTGACTCACGGCGGGAGGGATCCATGGAGGCAGGAGCATCGCATCACGATAATGATCAAGGCACTGAGCAGGTGAACCTCCACGCCACTCAAACTCGTGTGCCACGCCGACAGCAGCATCCACTTTCCTCCTGGCGATGTTTCATTTCATCAGGCGGCGAAGGGCGTGGAGTTCGTCACGATGCTCTCCCAGGTGATTTCATGTGTGTGTCCTCTGGACAGTGTATAATAGGCTGCCATGAGTGGTCCTCCGCTGTGTCGGTGCCTTCAGATGCTCGTTGCGGTGCAGGCTGCACCGCCGCAGCTCATCATGGATGAGGTCAGAACCGACATCGATACGGCAGGCCGTCATCGTTACATTGTCACTTTGCTGTGTGGCATTCATTCAGCCCCTCCAGTCGCTGTACCAGCAGCTGAGTGATGCCCTGGACGACGCCAAAGCTGCCGTGTCGCGCGGCTTTTCAACGCTACAGACCATAAGATTCCAGGCAGGCACACGGAAATAACTGGCAGGGGGCGGATTGGCAATGACATTCCCTGCACGGCCTGTGTGATGTGTACAGCACGACCCGCGGCTGGAGGGCAACTTGTTCCGTTTGGTCCAGAGGGGCGACATACCGGCATACAACGACGGACCGGTACGTATCCCGCCGATTCTAACGACATTAACGAAGTGATCCTTTCCATTTGCTTTTCTGCATTTGTGTGGTCTGTATGTCAGGCTCAGTATCGCATATCACCGCTGGAGCTGTCCCACGTCATGAGCTTCTCGCCCCCCTGGCAGCTCGGCCATCGCCTCCTCAGCAAGGGCACCATGCAGCTGTCGCCGTCCTCTACCGGGCGCTACGCCATCCACTGGGCCGATGACGATGCGCGGATGTGGGATCGGATGCCCCATAACGTAGCCCGCAGGCTGGGGCGGCGGCTGGTCAACCTCAAGACGCTGGTGGTGCGCTATCCCTCAGGCGATCCGTCGTGGTCACACGTGGCGTGGGTGTCCATTGTCGAGGGGCACGTAGAGGGCCGCGAAGCACTGGCGAGAAGGGAGAGGAGGCAGCGGGCCAGCAGCACCGGCGAGCCCATTACCAAGCAACACGGCCCGACCGACAAAGGATCGCTCCACACCATCATCTTCGAGGGACTTGCCGCTCGTCCACCAGCCCGCTTTACTCACTCCACTTACTTTCCGGATCTCTATACCACGGCACTCCCCGCCCTCATCACCATTCCTGCGCTGACCACCATCGTCGGCCTCCACGGACAGCAGGTCTGGGATATATACGTCAGGCAGTGGCGCATGCCGGCACTCGAGCGGCTGACGGGCGACTGGAGGGACAGAAACGGATGCTTGGCGGGCATGTTTATCCCCACGTCCGAGCGCCTCAAGTGCCTCGATGTGTGCACGAGCATGGGTGTGATGGCGGCGGTGCTGCCAACGGTAAAGCGGCCGGCCGCACTCGAGACCATCGGCACCCTCGAAATTCAGCTCTCTTGTGGGTTTGCGTTGGCGTTTGATTTGGACAGACTTCGGGTAAGAAATGACCCCCATAAAGAGACAGCCTTAGTCACCATGTCCGATGCTCTCCTTCCCTCAGGATCTGCTGGTGCGCCACAAGTGCCGGTCGATCCGCTCTATCCCCTTCGTGCTCGAGATCGAGATCGATAAGAGCACTGTCGACTCCCGTGAGCTCCTCGCCTCCTGTCGGCAGTCGATCGCCTGCGGGCGGCGCTCGGCACCCACACAGACATCTCCATCGAAACGCCACACCTGCCAGACGAAATGCAGCTCCACCTCCACCTCCCCGCCACAGTGCCGGCCAGCCCTTCGCCCCTCTTCACCAACACATTCAGCCGCATCGCCAGCCGGGCCACGACCGTCGAGTGGAAAGTCGACGCATCCCGCCCCGAGGAGCTGGTGCTGCTTGATATTCCCACGCGAGCCGAGATGGACCTCTTCCACACTCTGCACTTCCCCTCGGCGCACACCGTGGAAGTGTCGGTCAGCCCCCTCGGCGCCACAGCGGCCCCCCTGCCAACCCCCGCCGTCCTGCACAACATGTCAGCTGATGCGTTCCCCGCAGCCAGACGTCTGCATGTTGACGGCCGTGGGGCTTGGGAGGTCGGGTCTCTGCTGGTCACAAAGATGCCGCAGCTCGACAGAGTGGCGGTGTTCTCGGTCTCATCGGACTCGTCCCGGGTCACGACGACTGATGTGGTGGCCATGCTTCGGGCGGCTGGGCCAGAGAAGGCGCTCATCGAGATGAGCATTACGGCCGATGTGGACGGTGTGGGCGGAGAAGAGCTGATGTGGGGCAATGAGAAGGACCAGCTGCCCGAGATCGAAACCGTGCGGCTACGTCTGTACGGTAAGCCGGACGGAAATGACAGTGAAGGTGCCCGACTCGTCTGACTATCTGGTGTGTCTGTATGCAGTGGCAAATGCGGGCGCTGGCGTTGGTGTGCTGTCAAGTGTTGAGTCTATCCTCACCGTCAGAGGCATTCGAGAGCTAAGAATTGCCTTCAGAGCTGCGGACCGCGACATAGGAGTGCTGCGTGAGATCAGAAAGGAGTATTTCCGACGATTCCCTGGTGGGAAGACGGGCAGCTTTCACACTTCTTCACACGACACACAGCCGAGCCTCGAGTTGTGCTTCAGACGGCGTAAGTGACTCCACACGTAGATTGGGTGAGGGGCAGCTGGCGCAATTGACTGACTGTCGGATGGATGCATGCATTTGTCGATGGACGGATGGGGGATGGTGACGGATGACGCTGCTCATAGAACTGCACACGCTCTGATTGAATGATACACATGCGCATCAGTCGTCGCCCTCCTACAGTACTATGCCTGCACGGAGCTGACTCGTACACATGAACTTGGCGTGTGTGGCGGTGCACGCGACTGACTTACGCGCTCGATTGAGTTGTGTGTCCTGCATGCCGGGCCTTGTCCATTCCGGTCCCAGTGTGCAGCTGGATGGATGGACCGCTGGATCGTTGTTCGCCTGGCCGCACTTCTTCATTGTCTTTCATGTGTATGGTGTGGTGTGGCGATGAGTGTCCGCCCACACCACAGACGCTTCACATTGTGTCATTGTGAGTGGCCGCCTGGCCTGCATGAGTGGTGAGTGAGTGACTTCCCGTTGAATGAGTCTGACAGACGAATGCACCGGTCCGTCACGGCACACACACACACACACACACACACAGACGCACTCCACCAGACACACTCACACACCGGCCGAAAAGCATCACATCAAAAAGGGCCAGCACACAAGATGACCCAGCCACACCCACAGGCAGCCAGCCATGAGGACGGGCGGATATCTACCCAGACAGACACACAGACAGACAGAGAGGGAGAGGGAGAGGGCGAGGGAGGGAGGGAGGGAGGGAGGGAGGAAGGGAGGGATTGTTACACAGAGCAGAGAGACGCACGAACAAAAAGACGAAGCCATAACCCGAATGACTCATGCGTCAGAGTCATGGAACTCTTCAGCACGCATCAGCCAAGCCAGCCATTCCGTCATATATCAGCTGCTGGTCTGTCGACAGAGTGAGCGGCATGCGATGTGTCTTGAGCACACAGAGATCGGCTAAAGACATGACGACAGCCGGCCCCGAGAGAGTCCCTATGCACGGCCATTGCTTCGGTTTGACCTTTTGACCGTTCCGAATCAGGTGCTCCATTGCAATGCAGCGTCCGTGACCGTGTGACCGCACGACAGGCGCAAGGAAAATCTACGCCACCAGCAAAACGGGGTGTTCATGAGCATCCATCCATCCATCCATCCATCCATGTGTGTCCTCGTGCAGCCGTGCTGATGTAATTGATAGTCAGTGAGCCAGATCTATGTGAGGGGTGTGTGTGTATGTCACTCGCGACCACCCCACAGCACAAGAGGAGCTTCTGTCACCTGAGAATGGAAAGGAAGGGCAAATGTATTGAGGAAAGGGATAGACAGGACGATTCTCTTCTTACTCACGCGTCAAGCAAGCACCACCACCACCAGCAGAAGCACCTGACGACGCACAGAGAGGCACACTCCAGGGGGTGAGACGGGAGATTGCTCAATGTGTACCCGCAGAAAGGGAGCGACTTGACCAGAAGCGTTCCTCGAGTACGAATGTTTGCCACAGGGTATAAACCCACCAGTACGTATCTATCGCCTCGGCTTAGGGTGAAGGGGGGGGGATGGCTGTGCAGTGGGGGACGGATTCTGCTGGATGAGTGGGCGTGGTCAGTCAGCACGTCCTGGATGAGTGGGCGTGGTCAGTCAGCACGTCCATGGCGACGGGGAGGAAGTGGCAGCCGCCGCCCATGGGCATGGAGACGCTCATGACGTCGATGTCATTCCGCTGAATCAACCTCTTCAGCACCTGCCGGAACAAGTCTTCATTTCCTCTGAATCCGCCGCTTCACGACGCTCCCACGCCCGCTGAGCCTCCCGGTGCAGGTCCCGAACCTCACCACGGATTGGTGCTCTCTCTGTGCTCTCTCTGTGCTGTCCGAAGACGAGTGCGTAAGGGTTGGCGTCCCGCACCTCTTCTGCGCTGACGTGTACCGAATCTCACTGCCTCCTATCCTCTCCTCTGTCGTGCCCTCAAGCCAACATCTGAATGAGAGAGATAACGCAACGGATGCTTTGATCTCCCCTTCACCGTCATTACTGTGCCAGATCTGCCCACCTGCGATGAGTCATTGTGTGCCCTGACTGATGGTGCGATGCTTGACGCTCCCCCCTGCCACACACATGGCGACAAGAAGGGTGCACTGGCAGACTCAAATCGGCTTTTCAGGTCGCTGGAGCGTAGAAGCAGCTTCCAATCAGTTAGAGCGGAGACCGAGTTACACGGGCGAGATCTACGAGACATGACTTGTGATGCGCGTGGACCCAAGCTTGCGTGCTCCGTCGTCACTGAATGCTTCTTTCGGCTTCGTCACATTCCTACTCGCTACCCCGAGCTACTGCTGATACTCCAACTGGTTATGAACGCGCACCTCCGGTGTGATGAGCCATGTGGCGTGCCTTCCCTCACCATCTGACGAGACACCATCTTCCCGGTGATGATGACCGAGTAACGTGACGTCATCCAACAAGTGCCACACAGTGAGTTGTGGTACAAGATGGCCGATGGCATCGCCACCAACCCTCCTCGCTTCAGCGGCAAAGAGAGCGACTACCACAGCTGGCGTCAGTCGTTCGCTGGC